TCTTAAGGGTACGCCCGCAGGTCGGGGGGTGGCCTTCCCCAAAGCTCTGGGGCCACTGTTTTTAGCCAGGAGCGGCCTCCAAGTCCCAAAATGCTTCCAATACGGGTGGAGTGAATCTACTGCAATGCAGATTGACTCGGTCTCCGGCTTGAGCCTTTGATCCTATCAAAATAGAGGGAGACCCCTCTGGCTTTGCTGAGGATGAGAAAAAGACTGGAGGCGACCAAAGATAAGCGTTGAGAAAGGGAAATCCCCCCCCCAAACCTCCTGCTACGGCATTCCTCCGGCTACCCTTGAGGTAGGCTTGACAGCTCATGGTGCGCATGCGCCATGCCGAAGGGCGTGCGCGCCGCTCGGGCGGAGGGAAAAAGCAGGACGGTTCCGGCTCGCAGGGTGTTCGGGAAGACAGAGCGGGCCTGAGACACCGCAACCGGGAGGGAGAGGGGGCGCTCTGACTGGCGGGGGGAGCTCTGACGATGGGTGGGAGCTGTGGCGTGAGAAGCAGTAACGCTATCTGAGAGGTGAAGTTGGGATTAAGACCGAGGGATATCCCGCGCGTCCGAGTACTTACATCGTCGCCACTCGCCATCTGTCTTCACCAGCTGATCCACTAGTCCCGGATCCTTAAAGCGCTTCTTCTGCGTCTCTCGAATGAGGGCTGGATCCCCTCCTTTATCCACACGAAACAAATCCAGATCCAGCACCATCTTTCCTTCTCCCAGGCCAAGACCAAATGGAAGTGAGGACCTTAACCACAGCAGCCTGTGACCGACGCACTGCGCCTGCGCTACGCCCTGACCCGCCTTCCTCGCGCAGGCGCAGCCCGAGCGCGCAAGCGCCCCCTCTCGGCTGGAAGCAGCTGTGCTGGAGGCGGGGCCGCGGGGAGGAGAGTGGAGTGGGTAGGCGTGGGCTTCTCAGCCTGGGTCCAGGTCTGGCCCTCTTGGCCGACATTGTTCCCCTTTTGTGCTGTTTCCCCAACTCTGACCTCCTTCTGTAGGGGCTCCGATTGCCCCATAAAAATGAGTGTCTAGGTTTCCGCCGTATGTCAAAGGGCATATTTCAAGTTAGGTGAGGCCTGCCAATATGATGCCCACCAGCTTGGAAGCTGGCACCTCCAAAAGATGCTAGTTTCCATCTTACAAGCATGGATCCTAAGACTGGATCCTCTCCCTGACCCTCCGCTCTCTTCTGCATCTTGAGACAAGAATATGGCTACACAATGTAGCCCCCTGGGTTACCTCCACTGAAGATTCCTGCTCTCCTTAGAGCTGGGATATGGTGAGGATTCTCATAGAGCTAGGGTTGATGTGAGGAGACTCTCCCAAGGGGAAAATAGCAGATCTGAAGGCAGTACAAGGTATTGAGGTCTTGTCTTAGGTCTATTTGAAACTCCTTGAACAAATATTTCATCAGATTTTCATTTTATAACGTTCAGGCTTTTACAGAGAAATATTCTGGCTGCTGATTGGAGCCAAAATTATCAAAGAATCTCCCTGAAAACAAGTATTATTTGGAACATTTGGGAATAGGCATTCTGTTCCCCTCATCCTTCCACCTTACAGAGCCTTTGGGACCCCACTCCCAGTGCCCCAAAGGTAGCTGTCCAAGACCTCGGTCTTATGCCACTTGCATGGGCTTCTATGATGAAAATATGACATTGCTGTCCTTACTCCTTAAAAAGCCTCTGCCGAACCAACTCTCAGTTGTAGGACAGGTTTAATGACTTGTGAAGCTGACAAATAGAGATCCAGAGGGAGGCTTAGAAAAGGGGGTTGTCTGGGTTTGCTGCACTAAGTTCAGCTTGCCTAGGATGCTGAATTTAAAATCATTAGAGAGGAAGTGTAGGGAGCTGCAGTCTCTAAAGGAAACATGTAAGAAGACTGTATTCAAAGCTTTGGGTTCCCTGAAACTTTCTGAGGGCAAGGTCTGTGATGGGTGCTGACTGCTTTCATGTCAGTGTACTACCTGCTACAGATGGGTGCTCCTGTGGCTGCACTGGAGCCCAGGCCTAGGGGAGGAAGGCCACTAGGCCAATCATTTTGAGGTCGCCAGTATGATTAGAAGGAAGACCTTAAAATTCAGGCCTCTCCAAATTTCCTTAGGAATTTCCACCATTAGTCTTATCATAGATTAGGAACATCTTCCTTTAAAATGCTTGTGTTATTTAATAAGTATAACAAATTAACATAATAGCCTACTTCATTCATTAGCTTAGAATCATAAGATTTTTAGAGCTGGAGATGAATCTTAGCTACCTGCTAGCCTAATAATTCCTAATCTTCTCATCCCTGTCCTCTGTGTACTGGAATATTTTTGTCTAACAAACATGATTTTTTTAAAACTTCACTTTCCCTTCTTATTAATCAGATATTTATGGCTGCCAATTAGAATTTATGATCAGCAGGAAATAACTAGCATTACTACACTGAGTAACTCCTACCAGAAGTTAATGCAAATCAATATAATACTTAAGTTATGGAGTGATGGTATGAAGCCATATAACTTTTGGATGTGTGATTTCTGTTAGCTTTTAATACTGAGAATAGTTTTGCATGCTGCGTATGAGGACTCAGGGGCTCAAGAACCCCCAACTGAAAAAGCAGCTAGGCCAGCCCCTTTATCTTCTGTATGAGAAAATGGAGGCCCAGGGAAGTTAAGCAATGGAGCAGAAACCTGAATACTGGTTAGAATCTAAGAGAGTCTGATGTTTGCGCATGTCACTTTGTTAGCATTCCTTAGCAAAAAATAGGACCTTAAGGACTCGACTAGAAAATATGGCTTTTTCTTATAGCAGAGACCATTTTTTTGCATCTTTATTTCCAAGGGAGCCAGCACACTTGACAGGTGCTTATTACATCCCCATTGGGTGAGGGAGTTGCTGGGAGTAGGCTGAGGGCTTAGAAGCTTGTTGCAGGTTCAGGGAGCAGAGCCCTAGATGAGATACTGCCTTGGGGTCCTGGGCACCTAGTGTGCAGCCAGAGGAAATGAGTTCCTGCAGGGAGGGAGCAAGAGGGCAGGGCATCCAGCCGGAGATGCCTTCCTGTTTTTGCCACTGCAGAGCTGGCTTATGTGGGAGGGCTCCCCTGGGCCTTGTTTTAGTGCTTCCTTGTTTTGGATTTGGTCTAGGATTTCTCTGTTTGTCAAGCAAGCCCTGTCCTCTCACTCCCTTGCTAGAAGCCTTAAGTGGATACTACAGTCCTCAGGAAAATGTCCAAACACAGCTTTCAAAGCCCTCCATGACCTGCCTCCTACCAGTGTCTCTAACATGTCCCCTTCTAGGCATTCTCCCTTCACATTCCCCACACGCAGCTACTTGTGGCCTTTCTTGTCTCTGAGCCTTTATACAAGCTTCTACCTGGAACTCTCTTTCCCGCCTCTGTTCCTCCAAACTGGCTCGTTTTCCTTCCTCCAGGAAGCCTTCTTTGATACCTCCTCTTCACCGCTTCCTCCAGATTGGTTCAGCACCCTGCTACATTTATCATCAGTAATAGCATTTATCACCCCAACCTCCAACTTGAGGCTCCTCATTCCCTTCTATCAAAAAGGCACAGTAACAAAAGAAGTCAACTTTGCTCTACTTGAGCAACCAAGGAGTAACCATTTAAAAATAGTATGGGGTGGGCTGGGTTGGGGGGTGTTAGAATTAGAATGGGATGCCAGTTCTCCTACCACACTGTATTATAAGGGGGACTATATTTATTTTATGTGGGATTGTTAACTTCACCACTAAAATGGAATTAGTTAATGTTCTAAATTCTCCTTGAAACAACTCTTCATTATCCATTAAGTTTTATATATGCAACCCTACATCAGCTTCTCTGTCTCAATAGACATTGTTGCTCTAATTAAGGCCTAAGGTTTAGACCCGACCATTAGTATCTTTTTGCCTGGTGACCTGACACCGTGTGTTTCACTTCATTTTCAGTGATTGGAAAACCCTTAAAATCATTCATACATTTCCTTCCACAGTTTCAAGCTTAGTCATGGCTGTTGCTCATTTGATGTGTTGGGACACAGCACAGTTTAAGGCTGAATTCATGTAAGTTAACTGTGGTACTCCCATGTAATCGTTTCTTCTATTGTATCCCCAGTGGGCAAGCCAGGGAAAGTTTTACTGTGGGATGACTTTGAAAGATGGGTGAGGGTGTGTCAGGTGAAAGGAAGGGGATGGGCAAAGGCAGAGGCCTATGCCCAGGCAGGGAGGTGTGAAAGAGTTTAGGATTGAGGGGCAGTCAAAAGTTCAGAGTGGTTAGAGCTCTAGGCAATGCGGGGAGAGCTGGGCAAGGCAGGCTGTTAGGGATCTGTTGCCGCATTACTAAATCTGTTGGAGATGCAGTTTCTCCATCTATTATAATGGGGCGTAGTACCTGCCTCTAATCTGGACTTCATAAGCAGGGGGGATATTTAAAATATTTAACCACAATTACAACCCAGGTACCACCAGGCTGAACAGATGTGGCTCATAATGACCAGTTGAGGGAATCTTTCCTTTGGAGGTTAAGTGCCCTAAGCTAAAGTGAAGGCAAGTACTAAAGCAGGAAATTCCAGCTACCCTGGAAATGACAGGCCCTGACGCCTCTAGGATTTTACCCACATCTAGTCTGTGACAATGCACCTCATATCTGAAGAAGCTAATTTTACTTGTCTTTGTAGGTACATTGTTATGTGACTGGCCTTGATGCCCCCAAGAGAAGAGTGAACTGGAAGGGAAAGGAGCTGCATGCTAAGTGTTTTATGTGTTCTCTTTGACTCCTCACTCAATATCCTAGGCAAGGCAACATTAGATACATTTTATTACTGTGGAAACAGGCTCTCCTTGTTGGCTGATTCCTCAACAGGTGGTGAGAGGCTAGCCTAAGTCCATTTTGCTCCAAAGTTCGGTGTTTTCTCTGCCACTCTGAGATTCCAGAATCCTGCTCATCTTCAGTTTAAGCTTAAAGGACACTTGCCGTTTCTCACTCTCCCATCCATCCACCCAACCCATGTTCAAGAAAAACAACTTGAAAGGTATGCTTTTATTTCACATACAAAACATGTGATGTGGAATACCCAACCCTTAACAAACTACAAACTCTTAGAATACAGAATAAAAAGGAAAACCAGCCAATCTTGAGACAAAAATTTGGTTTCACAAAGCTGAAAAATCTGTTACAAAGCCTCTGTTATATAAATATAGTCAGTCTTATCTTTAGTGTAGAATCAGACAATTAAAAAAGAAAAAAAAGAAAAGAAGTTTGTTGGCATAACAAATGCCCTGGTCCTTGAATACACCACAATCTTCATTTGTATTCCCAGCCAAATATGAGTGACGCCTGTATGATGAGAGTCACTAGGACTCTAGGCAACCAAATGGAATTTAAATGTTATCTCCTAAGCCCACACTCCCTCCCCCAGTAGTATGCATAAACCATGATAGCCTTAGTTTAAGAGCGAATATATTTTTCCATAAAAAACTAACATGTGTCTACTCTAAAACTGATTATGGTGATGAATTCACAATTCTGTGAACATACTAAAATCCACTGAATTGCACATTTTAGATGAGTGAATTCTGTGGTATGTGAACTCTACCTCAATAGAACTGTTGAAAAATATATAATATGTGTATAAGTTGCTAGGGGAGCAACAGGTGGCCCTAATAGCATAACTCAGGAGTTCCTGGTAGGACACAGGGATGATCCATACCCATCAGTGCACTAAGGGTATAGTAAAAAGGGGATCCTTAAGGTATTATGACTAAACCAGGGGAGTTTGCAGGTGCTCTAGGGACACTCAAGATGTCCAAACAAAGAAGGTAATGGGGTATGTACCTTTTCCAACTGCTTCTAGAGTAGTCTAAGAACCTTCTGTGGCCTTTGTCACAGAAGGTCATTCAGTGGGAAGGCAAGTACCCAGAATACTGTTGAGGCCACAGAAAACTTCAGACTGGAGCTCAGGAGCTAGGTCTCTGCCCCTGTTTGGAAAAATCCCAGCATGGCCACAACCTGGTCCTGAGAGCCTGACTTCCCAAGAGGAGGATACCCAACGGAAATATTTATTCTAGATTTACTGAGCCAAAGGGCCTGCCTGCCTTCAGTTATGTTGTTGATGACTGGAAGTCACAGCAGGGCCCTGTTTTATAAGATCACTGCCAGGGCAGCAATGGTCAATCAGATCCACTGACCATTTTGTGACAGACAAATCACTTAGAAATGCCATCTCCATTCTATACCTACTGTCTAGTCACCAAATGGCCACTAGAGAAAGGAAACAGGCATAAACTGTGGGCAACTGGGCCCTTGACTGAGGGATGGTCATGCTAGCCTGATAGTGAAGGAGGGAGAATTGCCAGTGGTTGAAAGAAGGGGATTTAAAAGCTTGCTCTGGTTTTGCCATTCTGGTTACTTGAAGTTCATCAGTTATACCTGATGTAAAACTGGAGGAAAGAGGACACTAACTTTACTTACCTTTCAAAGGGATGCTGGCAGAAAGTCTTTTTAGTGGTTTAGCACACAAAGGAAATGTGAATTGGAAGAAGGAAGGATAAGGGCTTCAAAGTGCAAAGTGTCCCACCCTGCTGAACATCTTGTTCAACTCCACTAGACTTTCTTCCTTGAAGATTGATCTGGTTCTGCTGCTGGGGTGTGGGCTGTGAATCAATTCCTTTTTTGGCCAGCCTAGGAGGTGTTTATTTTGTGACTGAGCAGGTGAGCTAAGCTTAGAAGCAGACATCACAGCCCTCAGGTCCATCCCCTTGTATGGCCCCCTGAAAACCTTGGTCTCTGTGTTCATTCAAAATAAGATACCTCTGTTCCCTGATGTGATTCAAGACCACAACTGGGGCACCCAAAGACAAGGAATTTTGATTTGATGTCTCTCTGGGTAAAAGCAGGTAGAAAATAAAGCTAGAATAACAGGTTTGGACTTTTTCTGGTTCCCTTCCGTGTCATAGGGAGATGGTGGGGGGTTAAAGAAATGGCTAGAATAGATCCACCAGGCCTTTGGGCATGTTTTCAACGAACTTTTTCCTTTGGCTCCAGTAAGAACATTTATCACTCAAGAAAAAGGAATGAAACACTTAGTTTAAAAACACAAAACTCCTAACCAAACTTTCCTTACTGCCTTTTTTGTGCTTAGGAAGCCTTTTCTTCCCTAGGCCTTGCTCACCTCACCCTCAGCCTACCATCACACTCAGTTTGAACTGGTTCTGCAGGCCACCCCGAAGGTGGCCCGTCACCTTCCTCACGCAGCCTCTCTCCTAAAGCGCTCATGAGCTGAGGGCATTTGATCAGGAAAACTCCCAGCCCCTTCTGCCCTTGAATAAGAGGACAGAGGAAGCACTTCCTATACTGAAGAAGAGAGAAATGTTTTCATTTCAGAGCTATAAGAGTTATGAACAGGTGAAGCTATGGCTCTCGTAGCTGGACCATTTTGGGAAACAAGATACAAGAAAGGAAGTAATATACAAAGTGTGGGTGTATTTGGCAGGTTTGGGACAAACAGAAAGAAAGGTTTGGGTAATCTATAAAAAAACAAAGTTCTGAAATTCAAACTTCTGATAAGGCCACAATGAAGAGGTTTTTCCAGCAGTGGGTGTTGCAGGAAGCTGGCACCCAAATTGCCACAGTCTTGCAAGGTGATGTGCCTGGGCGAGGCTGCAGGTGAGGCAGGCAGGCCCTCTCACAGGTCCATGTCTGGGCCTCCCGAGGATGTCTTCAGGGGCACTGAGTCAAATCCATCTGGAGTCCTCTGAAAGAGAGATGGTGACAGGAGCTGGCTGCTGTACAGGGCCAAGTTTGGGGAGCAAAGGAGAGAAATGGAACATAGGTGACAGAAGGAACCCTATGGCACGCCTGTTTCAGTGGCTTTGCGGAAACAGACATAAGATACCCTCTATTCTTCTTGCTCCTTTCAGTCACTTAGAGGATATGAAAAAATCTTTAAAATCCCCTGTACTGCATCTTTGCAGAATTCTAGAAGTTCCAGAAAGACTAAAGGGTCCCAGGGTGAATTATTCTTCCACTGGTAAAAAAAAAAGAATTCCTATAGAGGCCAAGGGAGTCACCCTAGTAGGCCAGCACAAAGGGAGTAAGATTCAGCAGTCTAAACACCTACCCACCTTCCTTTCCTCTCGCCATCCCTCCAGCCCTCTCCTCTCCTCTTGCCGGCCTCCCTACCCTCACCTGTTCTGTAAACTGGTTCCAGGTGGCATTGAGGTGTGGGTGCTGGCGGAATGGGGCTCGAAGGAGTTGCTTGGATGCTCTCTGCTGGCCCCATGCCCAGTGACAGTGTTGTCTGTATTGCATTTATGAGCTTCAAATGCTCACCCACCCACACAAAGTCAACTCTCCCAGATCGGAATTGCTCAGCAGTGAACAGCCTAGACTTAGCTATGACTCAGACCTCAAAGGACAGGGCCCAGACGTTGGGGGACAGCACCCTCCACTGGTCAGAGGAGAGCTTCGCTTCTATCGGAAGTTGATCATAGAGATCGCTTCTTCCTCCTCCCTCCTCCAAAAAGAAGGGAAATGATTCTTACAATGCAGATGATTCAATACTCCTGGAAGTTAAAAGGCCCAAACAGTCCATCAACTGGGGTGCATGTTGGGAGAGAAGGGGCCTGGTCAAGAGCAGCCTTAGGCGGCAACAGAAAGAGTTTGGTGTGGAAATACGGATGGCAGAAGCCAGGGTTTTCAGGATGGTGGGGACAGTATAGTCTGGAGGGTGGGGACAGTAGTGGCAGAGTAGTGGTTCCTCAGCACATGTCACTGAATAGCTGAAGTGACCAGTGTCTTAAGGCTAGTGTCTTCTCCAGCTCTCCAGGCCGACCTCAGTGCATTGACCAGGCTCCCTACCTTGGAGGTAAATGATTTGATCTTCCAAAAGAGTGACTTCTTGCTGGTAAAGATGAGGTCATCCTCCACGTCCTCGCCTTCCATGATGGCACAGCTGTCGGCTGCTGGCAGGTCACAGTCTTTGAGGGTAGCGTTCATCACCAGCTTGGAGTACTTGTACTCCAGTCTATCGGACAGAAGGATGGGAAAGACAAGACACCAAGAAGTGGAACATCGGAGAAAGGAGGGAGAGAGGTTGGGCTCTAAGCAGATATTCCCATTCCATGAGTAAGTAAACTGAAGCATGGCAAAATGGTGTTAGGGCGGGGCACATGGCTAAAGACTCTTGGCTCCCAGTTCAGGGGTCTTTTTCCCTTAAGACTGGCTGTTTCTGTGTTCTCTCAAATCTTAATAGAAATATTGGAACCATGAAGTTATTATTTTTAATATTAATAATAGCAAACTAAGCATACTCTTTGCTTAACGTTTGAGGATCTAACAGCCATCTATAGGCTACTCCATGGCACCATTCCTGTTCAGGAGTGAGGATAGCCAAGGTTCAACAGTCACTGGCCAGAGTTACAGGGTCTGTAGCCCGAGGCAGAGAAAAGCCCCACAAATTCATAGTCTCAGATGTTCTCCTGGCTCAACGATACACCCCTGTCCATCCCCAAACTCCAATACCCCATCATGTACTTTTGATTTTTTTTCCAAAAGTAACAGGTCAAAACAGTGAGCAGGATGGCAGTACAGGTGCCTGCAGAGATGCCCACTTTCAGCCAGAAATCTATTGTTTTGCAGATGGTGACTTTCTGCTCAGGCAGGGAGATGCCACCTGTGCATAGCTTTGGTTCTCGCCACACGTAAGTAGTCTTCTGTTGGAGAGAAAAACAAGGAATTCAGATGTCACATTCCCTTCTCTCCTGATAAGTCTCCAGGCAGAGAAACCTACCTGGATCCCAGCCACACAGCTGCTGACGATAGTGTGGTAGTCAGCAGCAGAGCAGAGTGGGCAAGCAGCCATGCTCTCCCACAGGAAGTGGAAGTTACAGCCGTCACAGGTCCCATCAGAGCACGTGCTGGCAAAGCAGAAAGGAGACTTGAATGCTCACTCGCTGGACGGTGTGGAAGACCTGGTTAGAGTCCTGTCATCTCATAGCTTGCCTGATCCATCCTCTCCTTGCCAAACCATTAGCCCCACTGGGATCCTTCCAATTAGTCCTTAACACAGGTTTTTGCTCTCAGATTTTCCTAATAAGAGGTCTTCCTGGCCTCCACGGGGCTCTCCACCCTCTGCCTGTTTGCTTCTGCTGACATCGGATGAGAGCTAATGGATGGTGTCTGAGCTCCAGCACCACGGCCCAGCCAACCTCTCAGAAACTCCCGTTCTCCCCATGGACATACTACATTTTGCAAAAATTGCTTTGTTGCAGCTTCCTGGGGTTGAGGTTCAGGAATGGACTTGAGGTCATGAAAAATCTGTTATGTACCTCACTCTGATGTTTACAACAAGAACAGTGATCTTACTTTTGACACCACTGCTGGGTCAAACTAGCGTGTCTTGCTGCCCATCTCCCTGATGAGTTGTTTAGGAGCAGCATTTCCCAAACCATTTTCCTCAAGACACTAGTGCCCCTCAAGATGTTAACTGGTGTTATGTGAACAAAAAAGGAGGTGGTGGGGAGAGGTACTGTAATCAAATTAGTTTGGGGAATTCTTGAGTTAGTGCACTCAGCTATTAAACTCAGAAAGTGGGTCTTTTAGTTGTGGAGAGATTACCAGGATTCCTTAAACCTTTACTCACCCTAATAATAGCAAGTACATGCCAGACACCATAAAAAGTCGTCAAGTCTCATTGTCTCATTTAATCCTCACAACAACCCTGAGAGAATGGATTTTTATCCTCATTTTATAGATAAGGGAAAAGAGGCCTAGAGAAGGTAAGAAATGTATCTATGATAACACAGCTACAAAGTGGAGGAGGTAAATCAAATCTGGCTCTGAGCCCTGCTATTAGCCACTTTGCTGTGCAGCTGTCCCCATAATGGTTTGGGAATGTGAGGGTAGCTTGACGCTTCCTTCTGCCCCATTCTGGACATCTGAAAGTTGAGGGTTTGAAGCCGAGGCTGGGTCCCCAAGAGCCCATTGACAGATCTCAGACTGTTTTCCCTGTTTCTCTTTTTCAGTAATCTTTGGCTCTTGGAATGAGTCCAGGAAGACTTTGTTACATCCCTTTACCTTGGCAGTGACAGACTTCCAGGGGCAGGTTTCAGTGGACTGCATCTGACCCGAATGGTGGTTGATCTTCCAGAACTACAGGACTGGGTCACATCACTGGACCTGCAGGGAAAGCCAGCCCCATGGGGGAATGAGTTGCACATCTGTTCCAAAGGAGCGTCACTCAGTCAAGTCGACATGGAACAGTTTCCTTGCTGGGAATGTCAGGGTCTGTGCTAGCTAGCCTAACACCCAGAAAGGGACAGGCCTTGGTTTATCCCCAGAGAGCGGGGATCAGGAGACCTCATCAAGGGGAATGAGCACTGGTCTAGGAAAGGTTTGCTTATGCATAACACTGGAATCTCCTCTGATGGAAAGGAAGTCAGCCACAGATCATCTCATATTTTGCCTGCTGTCAGCACAGACCTGCCCCAGGAATACCCAAGAAGCTAGGTTTAGGGAACTCCCAGCCTTTAGCTATCATTGTTGGGTGGATATGCTAGACCTGGGACATGTTCTGGCTTGATAAGTAGTAGGTGGCTGGAGAGAGGGATGCACCAGAAATTGTGGAGGGGCCCGAGGTTTCACGTGCATTAGCCTGGCTTATCTTCACCTATAAAAGAAGATCACGTCCGGTATTCCCAAAGACTCCGGGTGGAAAAGTTCAGCGGGGGAGGTGATTCCATCCAGAGTTATATCTGTTGTCACCCCTGCCAAATTAGAGCTCCTAATTAGTCCTCACTAGCAGCATTAGCTGGCAACCACTTTAATTCTTTCAGGACCCATCCACACACAACCTTCCTTCCTCTCCTCACACCCCTGCGTGGCTCATGAAAGGGTGAACCAAAGGTTTGTCAGAGGCCCTGGGGCACCTGGCACCCCAGGACAGAACAGAAAACAAAAGTCAGGAGGTTGGGTTCCTCTTTGGGGCCTTTTACCCTGAGCCTGGCAGTCTCATTCTCTCCTACACATGTACGTGCTCTAACAGGCTGGAGCAGCTTACTCACCAAGAAGTCGATCAGCCAGGCTGACAGGCTGCGAGGACACTGCGGCCTTGTAGCCTGTCACCTCTGGGGGGATGATGACCGCCTGGCAGACGTAGGCTGTGATGGATTTGGAGAAACCTGACTCACCCTCAGGGATCCGGAGGTCAGTGACATTGTCAGTACACACGGACATCTTCTTACCCTTGGTTGGGGATGTGGGGAGGGACAAGTGGGAAGCAGTGACTGGTCACAGAACTCCCAAAAGGGAGAAGGAAACAGTTTTCTCACATCTAAAATTTCAGCCTTCCAATGGTGTATTGCAGTGGAATGACTCATCCCAGACCTAATTAAAAGACAGATATATATTTTTTAAGCTAAAAATGGGGCCTAGGTGTCCTATTCCTGGGACTCTGGTCCAGCGGTCCCCAGTCTTTTTGTTTCCTTGGAGTCACATGGACGCCCCCACGAGCCGTGCTGTGATGGTGGTGACTGATTTGGAGATCTACTCTACCAGCACCCCACTGTAGGGTCTGCCTTATCCTACTCGGTCTTCTAGCCAGATACTGAAACATACAACTGATCCCATGGAATTTTCTGACTGTCTAGCCTGGCTCACATTCCCTCTCTGTGTCTCCCTTTGTGCTATGATTCCACCGTGCTTATCCTGGAAGCACTTTCCACACAGAATGCCAGGAGTTAAAACAGTCCCCATAACTAGTAGCTTCCCTACCTTGACGTAGAACATCTTAGCAACAATTGGAATGTGATCCATTAAAAAAATGCATCTAGAAAAGAAAGTTTTCTTCTTCTCCAGTCTTAAATGACCCTTGCTGTATTAAACTCTGGAAAACAGTAGGAACTGAGACTTTTTCCTGGAGATTGTGTAAGAGAGGAAATATTGTTCCTTCAAAGATGTTATCTTTATGGAATATCAATATATAACTTGCTTGCTTATAAAAACCATTTGTTCAATATTGTAAAGTCAAGTGGACTAAGCATGTAGGATGTAAGATTTTCAATATTGTACATTTTATTACAAATGGAGCTGTGTAAATTGCTAAATCTGGCATCTCTTAGTTTATTTTCTAGATCATAAAAAATAAGAACATGAAACAGAAAGAAACCTTTACATTATGATAAAACAAAGAGTTATTTTCTCTTTGAGCTGACAGTCTATAGTGTGACAATACATAGTAAGCATTTCTGAAAAGAATAAAGGAGCAAAGAAAAAAAAAGACATAATCTCTCTCCCAACCCACTGAATGAAAGTTTTACTACATGGGTCTTGCTTTAATCAGTCTCAATTCCTGGGTTATTAACTGTCACTTCTGAAGCTTCATTTTAACTTCTTCAAAGATGGCAACTATAGCTCTAATCTTTCAGAGATTAGTTTCTTCCTTTTTAAAAGTAAGGTATAATTGACATATACCATTGATCAGTTTATTTCTTGCCATGTACTTTATATAAGCACACATCAACTTTTCTGCCTGCTATAGGAGATGGACAGAGCTGTGTGGTGTAAAGGCCTTCCTACCACACAGAGTCATAGATTAAATGCTCAGGATCCTCTTTATCTTGTGACATTTGAAACCAACTTTCCAACTGCTTGTTTGTAATTTAGTCCATGCTACAGTGGTGTGATTACCCTTTACATTTCTGCCTTTGAATTTTGGATCGAAAATATTTGCAGCAGAATGAAGGGCTGAAGGTAACATTCTTTCCTTATCTTAGAAAACCTTTCACATTACTTTCTTACGTACTGTCAGCAAAGATACTTGTAGATGAACTAACAACAATTTTATCCAGCCTCTAGAAAACAAATGACAAAGTGCCATGATTAGTGAAGACTGCTTTTTAAAGGGGGAAAAAATCTTCCTCCTGCACAGTCTTTATATACTTATTTTGAAGGAATAAAGCTCAGGTAGGAGTAAGTGAATACCCTATTTTTAACACTTTTTTCCTAAATAAATATAAACCAAATGATTTTATTTTAGAGGAAAAAGCCCTCAGGGAGAATAATAATCATTTTAAAACCTTCGAATCGCCTCAATCCCCAGCTGCCTGAAGGTTTTCTAGCTTTTCTCCTTCATCTCTATCTCTCTCTGGCCTCTGATCTCCTGGTGTCCCCTTCCAGTGTCACGCTGTTAGCATTTGCACATTACCTGGTTTCCACAGAGACTGAGGATAAAGTGATGGAAATATTTCAGGCCTTTGGAAGTGAAGCTTGGCCCTCCAGCCAGAGAGACGGTGTTTTCCAAGGCCAAGAAGTTGTAGTCTGACGTCCTGCCGGGAGTGCTGATGGAGAAGGTACAGTCGTTGTAGCACAGGGAGTGGATCTGAGGGGAAAGAGTCCGTCAGGCCCACTGCTGGGTTGGGGCCGTGGGGAGACCAGCAGAGGGTGGCATTTATTCTGCCCAGCTGGACTAGCCCACTGGGTCAAAGAGGAGGGGATGGGTAGTGGGCATTAAAAGAAGGGCCACAGGGGCTGGTGGCATTTATGTACATCTCACTGTTCAGTCATTAGCACACATATGATGTACAAACCCAAACCTATTATTTCACAGTAAGCAGTTCAGTCAGTGCGATAGCCTTGCCCTGTTTTTAGATTACAGAACTCTCTCAAGATGCAAGATAGCTTTTCTCTTTTTTCAAGCAGAAGAGAATGAGGTGATACCTGAAAGGAGGATGGCAGAAGAGAAACCACAAGTCTTGCCCCTTCCCCTCCAATTTAAAACTCACTGAACCCTGTTTCCTCTTTCCTAGGTGCTCACTAGGAAATGGGACTGCAAAAGGGGCTTTATTTCCCATAACCCCCTTTCTTGCTCCATTTTAGGGTCCCTATTCAGCAGCAGCCTGACACAACTGTCATCCCCTCCCATAGCAGCAGAGGGAGCCCCAGGGGAGGAAGCTTGTGGCCAAAGTCCAGGGAGCACAAAAGAGGTTGCCGGGGCTCTGTGGAATTGTTGCACTTACTGCAAAGCTAACCTGAACAACGTTTGCAGACTGTGTACGGTATATGTCCATGTGGTTGTGATCAGTAAAATACAAGTTCACTCAAGAGCATTAATGAATACCTAAGAGCTGTTAGTCATAGTACTTCCTTAGATTCAGAAAGTATGCAACAGGGGCTGGGGGCAAGAACAGTTTTTCCACTTTAGAAGAATCCACTGGGATAAAAGACAGTGATGTCAATTAACTGTATGTCCCAGCAAAGGTAGGCTGCCTTCCCAAAGAAGTGGGGGCAAATTCCCATGATAATAGCCTGGACTGAAGTAGGCTGGATTTGAGCCACAGGTCCTACTGTTCCCTCCCTTGAGTCTCTGCACAGATGTCAAATAACCCTCTGGACCAGATGGTCACTGATTGCCCTTACCCATCTTGAAGATGAGACTTGTCCGTGACTGAAGCCTAGACCCTGAAAAGCAATTGCTATAGCTAAGAAGTTGCCATCCACGGCCACAGCCTGGATAAGTGTCCTCCAGGACTCCAACCTGGGAGTAAGCCATAAGCAGTGCATGGGTATCAGCTCTGCAAGAACCCCACCCAGGGCCTGGAATCCTTGTAGGTGCTCCATGCAGAAGGCCAAGCTTAGGATGCACAACCCGCCTCTGGCACCTTGTTGCTCTTGGTCCCTGGACCGCAGGGCATGCAGGCCTGGATGCCATAAGGCTGATGGGCTTTCAGGATTGTGTTAGGGGGGCAGGAGTGACAGGCCCCTGAATCCCGATCAATGTAGTAGCCAGCAGGACAGGAGGTGCAGGAGGAGCCCATGTCAGAGGCTTCCAGGGCACAGGGACGGCAGAAGGAGGCCACCCCGTCCATGACATTGGTAACATTAATGGAGTAGATCTTGGCGACATCATTGGTGTACTTTCTGCCCTGAAAACCAAGAAACAAGACAAAAGAGGGCAGATGCCTTGGACGCCGGCAGCAATTGAGTTATCTGGAAATGGTAAATTACTGCTTAATCTTTTTTATCCTCTAATAGTTGAGAAAACCTTAGAATTATCCTATTCTTTTTACTCACTTAACAGTAGGTTTTTATGTATATGTTGTGTTATTTTAAAACAAGACTGATCCATTTTAAGTGATGCATAAAAAATACCAAGTGCCATGCGGGAAGTATGGCCTTTTCCTTGTGAAAGGAAAAAAAAATGTGTTTGTAGAATATCTGCTGCACTGGAGATACTCCAGATGTTAACAGGGCTATCACTGGGCAGTAGTAGGATTTGGGTGATGTTATTTCTTTTTGCGTATTTCTGTCTTCTGAGTATTCTGCAAGGAATCTTCATTACTTTTAGAAAATTAAACTGGAGTTGTTATTGTTAAAAACAACAACAGGGCTGAACAAGGGCAGCACACATGTCCTCGGGGCAGGGGCCGCTGATGCTGAGGAGGGCAGGTAATTTAAGGAGCTTACAGTGTCAGCTTTTCTGGAAGTCATGCAGGCAAGGCTAGATGCTTCTCAGGGGGCTGAAACAGGCCTGACTCCATAAGGGTCACTTCCGTTCTAACCCGTAGATTCTGAACCTCACACTCCTACTTAGGCTAATGCTAGGATCCTTCCAGGGTTCAGAAGTCTCTTCTGGAAGCCAGGGGTCTGAGAAGGGGAGGAGCTTACTGTGTCATGAAAAGTGGTCCTCTGGAAGGCCCAGGTGAAGCTCATGGTGGCGTTCTCCTCAATGATGTAGGTATAGGACTGTTTGCCTTTGGTACCTTTCCATGTCTCCACGGGTGTGTTGGTTCTAGAATTCACACCCTGAATCCAAGACAGACAAGTGAAGAAGGCAAGGTGGGCTGGATGGCTGGTACTGAGAGGGGAGAGGGTGCCATCCCAAGGGCCGTCACAGTCAGGCCTGTGTTAAACTGTGAAGTCCCTGATGGACATTCTGGGCCCTTTCTCTGTGAAATCACTACAAGCAGAGGCATCAGTTATGTTGATTGTTGCACCAGTGGGGCAGAGGGGGCAACCCTCCCAATAGTCCCTGGAGGCCCCACAGTGGGCAGGGAAAGGAAAACATACCACCATGAAGTAGAGCTCGCAATTCACAGAGCAGATGGTCTCAAACACAAATGTGACCCTGGCCACCTCTTTATTCTCTGTGTCTGCCGTCACTGACTGTGGAGATCTGTGGGCGTAGAAATTCCAGTCAGTCCCAGAGGCCAGGCAGTGCCTACTGAAGAGCCCAAACAGCAGTGAAGGGTCTTCAGGAGGACAGGACTGAGTTCTGAGTATGTGGGGAAGAGCATGGACCGAGTCCACTTCTGCTGCCGTAGCTATGTGACCATGACCTAGCCAGACTGTAGTTTCCTCTTCTGTAAGGTGGGGGTGGCAATGTCCTTCTCATTTACCTGCCATCATCGTGGTGAGAGCCAAAGGCCTAACTGATGTGAAAGTGCTTTGGGAAATGCTATGTGGCCTCACTAGCAGAGTGTGGTCCCCAGACCTGCAGCACTGCCATTGCCCAGGGCCCAGTGGACACACAGGACCTCTGGCCCCTCCCCAGACCCACTGAGTCAGAATCTGCAGGTCAGTGTGATGCCCAAGTGATGCAGATGCACATTCAAGTTTGAGAAGCACCACTTTCTTAAGATGTTAAATACCTACATCCACTCAGCAGCTCACTCTGGTGTAGTGAGCGCTTTACCTGGGTGGAATGAACAGATATGTCAATTTGTAATCCTTTAGCAAAGTTCTCAAGTTGGTCCTTCTTTTAGGAAGGAGAGAGACATGCCAAAAGGGGCAGGGATGGGTGGGGGCTGGGGAAGTGGGTGGGTGGGGTTAGGAAGCACTTTACTACTGGCCATCAGATTTGCAAATTGAAAAGTACTTTTGGGAATGTTACCCTAAAAGGTGTGCTCAGCTTGCGAACTTGGGATGTAGCTGCTCAGCTTCGAGTGATGTAAGGAAAACTACTACCTTTTGGGCAAGTACAGTGGAGGAGTGCTGGCCTGGGATGGAAAGGAGGTACTTGATGGAGGGAATGTTGAAGCCACAGCACCACTAGGGAAGGGCATCAGCGCGCTCCTTTCTAAAGTGCACGTGGGCAAAAGAGTTCACTTGGGCTTTGAAAACCCTTTATGGCTTTTCTTTTGGCTTTGGCCATTTGCTTGAATTCTGAGGACCTGTGGTTTTCAGCTCCTATCTACACAGCTGTGCTAAACAATGGGTGGAAGAATCATCTCAACCTGAGTTAGTCCAAAATCAGTCAATTCCCCTTGTTTTACAGATGAAGAGGATGACACCGATAGGGACATGGTGACTTTGCCAAGTTCAGAAACCCAGTGAGTAGCAAAGTTCAAGTGCCCTGTCTTCCAGTCTGGTGCTCTTCCCACCATACCACATTGCCTGTGGTATTTTTTTTAATGGCAAATGACTTGCTTATTGTCCTAGATCTTCTTGGGATATGGGGATAAACATGACAATAAGAACAATACCTCCCAGTTTTCTTGCCCCAAAATAAGAGGAACTGTCTATGGGTACTTCTGGTCCTGTTTTTTTAAATTTTTCTCTTTTTTTTAACCCCATCTGCTATTGTAAGGAGAAAGATTTTGAGTAGCGTATGGCCAGTTGATGGGAGAAGCTAGAATGGGACAAGAGAGAAGTAGGCACATCAGCAGGGGCAGCAGCGAAGGACCTGCATCAGCATTCAGGTGAACCTCACAGCCCATTAGTGCCTCTCCTGCGCTCTGAACTGACATGCCGGATGCTGGAAGCCCTCTTGTCTACATTCCAAGCTACGTGGAATTTGAATGTGGCCAAGGTGGTGTGCGTTTCCCTTTAGCTTTGTATTGCTCACCTAAATCCTGGTACGACCAGAGTGAGAATCATGAAGTCACTGTCTGAGGCTCCAACAGCTGTATAAATGTTATCACCAGCCACCTCCCAGCCTGCAACAGGAGAGGGGAGAGTTAATGCTCCAGTGATCTTGGGTGCAGGGCAAATATGCACCCAGATGACACTGGGAGAGAGAGAGAGAGAGAACACTGTCCTTTTAGGCATCCAGAATTAACACTGAACACAAACCATATTATTATCCTGCTATTTTGGTGAGAGACTCTGTGACTCTCAGAGTTAGCCCTTTGGAGCATGTGCACATTGTTTCTAGTTCTGTTTCTGTCCCTAAAAGGAAGGTTTGGTGGAATGAATGTCCAAGAAGAGTGGAACTGTCAAAGGAATATGTAGCATGATTGGCTCACTTTTCTCCAGACAACATTACTATTAAGAACTGCGAAGTTGGAAGAGCCCCTGGGGGAGCGCAGGGACCTGACAGCTCATGGTAAGGTGAAAGGCAATTACCTGTCATGCCCTTGTACTCAAAGTTGATCCCACTGAGAACGGTTGTTTCCATGTTTGCAGGCAATGTGTTCCACCATTTGTACTCGAATCCCACAGCAGGTTCAGTCCCAGCTAGGCAGTGGCTACAGTCTGGGGAAGCAAGGTCCAAGCATTCAGTGGGAAGGCTGCAGCCACCTGACCAGAGCTGCTGTCACACAGACCAGTGGGCAGCCAAACAAGGGTGGTGCTGAGCACCACTGCACCGTTATATCAACTGACTCACAAACATTCTGACAATGCAGTCAACAAAGTCACGATGTAGTAAACACTGACCCTTCATTCCAATATTCCAGTCATCCTACTTGCCCACCAAATTTTTCATTTCAAAACTTAAATGTATCTTCTATTCTGATACAGATAGTTGGTATTATTTGTCACATTATATCAGGAAATCTATTCACAATAGGTACACAGATCCCCCCAAGTCCTTTTTGCTGCATGGCATACAGGTTCTCATTGCATCAAGCTGGTCACCCCAGCTCCCCAAACTTTCTAGTAGCATCCCTGCCACATGCTGGAGGAAGCTTCCACTGTAAGGATTGGGTACCTTTGGGCCTCAATCCTGTTCATGGTTGGGATGAGGAGGAAGGCAGGACTCTGACCTACAGACAGGATCCACCCTGACTCTTCTCCTGAACTTAGTCCTCAGAGGTAGCCTGGCTCTTCCTGCCTCCCTTGGAAGGACAGAGTCCATACAGATGGCCCCTCTGAGCAGCTGCATGGCCTGCCCCGGCGGGAATGGATGTGATGCAGAGGATAGGGCAATAATGGGGTTACCAGAGCCGTTGGAGTATGAACCATAAGGGCAGGGCTCGCAGGTGCTGCTGTTGGTTTTGAAGAAGCCTGGGTTGCAGGGTGGACAGCGGGTCTTCACACCAGAGGCGGGCAGCTTCACTGCCCCCTCGAGGTCCTCGCCACAGATTTTCGGCTGGGCCCACTTGTACATGAGCTGCGTCTGCAGAAATGGGTAAAGAATGGCTCCACCTGTTTGGGACTTAGCACATCTTTAGTAATTTATCTTGAGGATGGAGGTGGGATGTTCCTGGGCTATAATGAAAAGCCCACCAGGGTTTTGATCACCAGTGTATCCCAAGCACCTAACCCAGCACCATGGTTGGTCAGGATAACTATCTGCTGAATGAATGTTTGACTGGATCAAGAGGGAGATACCTAATGAAGACTTGTGTGACAGAGGGAAAGGGGGGAGCAGTTGTCTCTAGAGAAAGCTCTAATTCTGATGTAGAATCTTACTACTACCAAAGCCAGAGAAACAGCAGCTGGCAAAAGTCCCAGAACACACAAAAAGGCATGGAATAGAGGTGGCTCACATAACCCTTGGGGAAAGATAGCGTGGCTGAGGTGTCCCAGTCTGTCTTCCAAGTGTTTCCTTTGCTTTTTTATTTATTCAGTAGCCATTTATAGAAAACCTAATGCAACTGTGTGCCAGACCTGGTGACTCAGAGATGGGTGAGGCATGTCCCCTGTCCTCAAGGAGCCTACCACCTAGCAAGGGCAACAATCACATAACAGTCAGCTGTGTGGGGTTCGGACAGGGTGTTCTCTGGGACATCAAGGCAAGAGGAGCAACACTGGTCAAAGAGTACAAGGTCCCAGTTATAAGACCAATAAGTTCTGGGGATCTAAGGTACAGCATGGTGATTATGGTTAATAATACTGTATTATATACTTGAGAGTTGCCAAGAGAGTAGCTTTTAAACATTCTTACCACAGAAAAGAAATGGTAATTATGTGACATGATGGAGGTATATGCTAACAGTATGGTGGTCATTATTTTGCAATATATAAGTATATCAAATCAACATGCAGTATACCTTAAACTTACACAGAAGTTGTATGCTGATTACATCTCAATAAACCTAGGTGAAAAAAAGGGACGAGGAATGGTCAGCCATCAATTAGTGGATGAGAGAAATACTGTGTCTGTCACTCACTAGGACAGTCCCTACTTTTTTGATGGAGGCATTGAATATGGAAGAGGAGATGACCTGCAGGAGGCCCCTGGCTGGGCAGCTCCAAGCTTCCTGGGTGGCCCTGGGGTCAAGTCAGAGACAAAAGGTGCTCTTGTGGATAGCACTGAAGTGCTGATGAGAATGGTCTGTGCTGTATTCCATATGTGTGAAAAGGTGGGTGAATAAGGCATCTGTCCATTTTATTCAGGATAAGAAATGACAAGGCCTGGAAAGAGGCCTTTTTGCGTTCATTGATGGTGAGCCCTGGGGCTCCTCCTCCCTGTGCTCAACTCAGTCTTCCTCCCTGTGAAGAGTAGCCAGGGGCCAGAGCCCCAAGCTTGTGCTCTAATCTTATCCCACTTGGCCTGTCTCCTGAGTCTCATGGAGAGAAGGTTCTAGGGGGAAGGGAGACTGACTTGGGCCATGTCTTGGAGCACATTCAGAAACCCTGGTGGATTAACCATCTGGCCCCTTAGAAAGCAGTGAAGCACAGCAAAGATCACAGGAGCAATAATAAGAGTTGGTTGGAGGTGTGTCCCTTGGTTTGAAAATATGGTTTAGAAGACAGTGAATCATGAGACTGAACAGAACCAGTGCAGGCATGAGGCATAAAGCAAGAGACTTCTGTAAAGTGTTCCTGATGAATGCATATTCATGGACACTGCTTCAGGGCCCCTCTCCTGAGCTGTGGCTGGGCTGCAAGCAGAGCACTGGCTCTGGCCCAACCTAGCATCTAAAGGCCCCATGGTGGTCAGGTGAGGGCAGACACCCAGGCTCACAGGCAGCAGAGCACACTACAGATCTAGAAGGCCTTGGCCCGAGCCTGGAGGAAAGAGAATGCAGAAGGAAGCAAAGACAGCCACATACAACCACATGTTTTGCCTATGGGGAGAAGTAGCGCAGGACTAATTGTTTCACGTAAAATATTAGAGAGTCAACTGAGGCCAAGAAAATGAAAATAATTTTTACAAGGTCATACAGAACAGGAGGCATTACAGAGCTGAGTCTAAGGCTCAACGGACAAGCTCTGTAGCCGTTCTTTCATGGCTGCTAGAGAAGCAGATGATGCTCCAAACACGAGGGCAGGGTGGGGTGCAGAGTAAGAGATGACTCTGAAAAAATGATCACTGTTAAGGACCAGACTTTATCCCAAGCTTAACTGGCAAAAGGAAAATTCATCCAGTTGCTCAGCCAGCAGATATGTGTGCATCCTAATAGCCAAGCATATGCTCTGTGCTGAATGCAGATTTCCAGACTCCTAATTCTATTTTCTTGAGAGGATCTAGTTTACGACACAGACAGCTCCTCCAGAATGTCCAGTCTAAGACAGATCTCACCGCTTGTGCCCCTGAGCCATCCCTGCTCACTTACTGCTGTTCCTCGAACTCACCAGGCTCATGCCTGCCTCCTCTACACCTGCTGCGCCCTCTGCCCAGAAAGCCCTCCGGCTCACCCTTATCTCAGAGAGGTCATACCAACCTTCTCTAAAATAGCATCTCCACCCAAAGTCATTCTCTATCTCTTAATCCTCTTTTATTTTTCCCTTCGTACCACTTATTACCATCTGATAGCATCCACATCCATTTGTTGTTTATCTGTTGTCTCCTTCTCCGCTTGCTCTGAGAGTTAAGCCCCGTAGGAGTAGCCGTCCCCTCGGTTTGGTTCACTGCTGAACCCTAGTGCCTAGCACAGTGACTGACTGTTGAAATGAACAAACGACCTCCTCCGAGAGGCCTTCCCAGTCCCCCAGTCCTGGCCACTCCTCTTCCTGGTCCCCCAGAGCCTTGCACAGCCTTCTTGTTGCCTTGGCAGGCTTCTCCTTCTCTCTCCACCGTCCCTCCCAGGACCGTGGGCTCCCTGAGGGCAGGAGCCTGTCAGTCACCTCTGAAACCCAGTGGAGCTGTGGCCCTGCAAGGCAGTGAACATGCACAAAGCACCTGCTGTCTGGCTGCCAGTGCAAAGTACAAAGGCAGCTCTTCCTGAGGCAGAAAGCCCTGGGGGCCAAGGTACCCAGCAGGGGCTGAACAAGCCATTCTCCAGTGAGTCAGGAAGGAGGAATCAATTCCCTTTGCCAACCCACAAAAGCCACGCTGAGGGGACAAGTCTGATGAGTTCCATGAAGAAACAGTGTGCATGGACAGGCAGTCTTTGCCCAGAGGAGCTAAGCAAATGGAAGAAACCAAACAACAGAAAATGAGATGGCTTTCTGACACCGAGTATATGTGAATACGTAGTGGAACAAGTGAGGCAAAAGCAGTTTCTGGCCTGAAAAGGAATGAGGCCATCTTGTTTTGCCTCCCACTAGCATCGGGGTCACTGCAGAGGTCTGGGGGTTTTCTCTGGTGCCAGCTACACTGGCCACTAGAACTCTAAATGTGGTAAAGCAAGGAGCAGGCAAAGGAAATAACCAGGGCAAAGGGGCCCCGAGACGGCCACGCACCTCTCCATTGGCATCACAAGCTGTGTGGGTGTAAAAGTAATCTTTGTCCGTGCAGGCTGGGCGCACTTTGCAGGAGGACGATCCTTCTTCTAAATTGCAAAAGTAAGCACAAATATTTGAAGTGACATAATACAGCAGAGCTCTTGACCCTGCGAGAGCTCAAAACTCTGTGAGCCCCAGGACCCTGGGGTACAGCACAACACGGATATTGTGTAAGTAGAAAATCCGCAAAGCCACCCTTCCCCTTGCTTCAGCGGCATCATTTCCAGTCCCTACAGCCCTGCTCAGGGACCCACTTTGACCCTCTCCCTGGTGCTGAGGAGGAACCAGGGGCCTGCACTGTGGAGCAGGGCGTGGAGACCTCCTGGAGCACCAGCAAGGAGGGCGCGAAGCTGGGTGGAGCATCCTGCAGGCTCACCGCCACCAATACAATAGTAGTACTATTCCAATACAAGTTCCCTGAAAGCTGCCAGTCTTCAGGTGACTCAGAACCCTGACTATGCGCGTGTTTTTTCCACTCCTGAAGGGCTGAAGCAAAACATATGACAGCTTAGGGCAGTGCCTTCGTCCTCCTATTCCAATTCTTTCTCTGAAATTCCTCTTAATGTGTGCTTAGGATGCAGGTCTTCCCCTTTGATTTCCCTGTCTGTGCAGTCACCCTACACGAACGAGGTGACCTTTCCCCCAACTCCCCTTAAGACATGAAGTTCCTTCCACCCTCTCCAGCCCCAAGCATCCCTGTTCTATCTGTAACCCTTGGCCTGTACTTAAGGAAAAAGGTTATAACTATCATTTTATTTATTCTGCTCTCTGTATGTTCTCCTTCCATCTGTTAGCTCTGCTTTAACCCTATGAAACCCTGGCTAGCAATAACTATTTCAATGAATCCCTCTTTAAAGCTATGGATTTCACCTTTTTTGAATTACAAACCCTTTTGAGAATTTGAAAAAAAGACCTGTTTCTTCTACCCAGAAAAAAATACATAATCCATGCAAATAAATTTTTCTCAATTTCCAGGTAATTTACTTTTTGAGAATAATACCCACTACTTTATAGATTTCCAGTATATACGACTACTAGTACTGTCACCATGATTTTTTATATGACCGCTGTGATAATGGTGAGACCGCCCCTCTCTCTATATTGCCTGACAGGCAGTGCGGTGGAATGGAATGAGATTTTAAGTTATGCAGAACTGGGTTTGGCTCCCTTTTAATTATTTAGTAGCTGTGCCACTTTGGGCAAGTTACTTAACCTCTCTGAGCCTTAGTGCTTTCGTCTATAGAGCAGGAATAATATCTATCTTACAGAAGCCAGCACATACCTGGCTCATTGTAAGTAAGGACTCACTAAATGCTAGTAACTGTTACCTGGGTTTGTAAACATTATTTTTATTTGGTAACTATCACAGTATTTTCAATAAGGATTAAAAGTCTCTCTTCCAGTTAAGGCTTACTTCTCAACTGATCCCCTCTTCTTCCCAAGGCACCAAATAAGTTCCTAGATCAAAGAATCTCCTAATTTCAGCCTTGTTAGCCTGCACTGGGGAGTTCCCTCAACTACACACCTCTTCTGTCCCCATCTTATTAGCCTGAGCAAGAGGGAACCAGTGGCTGAGAAACATCTGGGGTCTTTTCAGCTCATTTATTTGGTTAACAAGCAGGCCTAATTCAGCATAGAGGGATTCAGGGACTCATGCTTCTGGTAGACTTGGACAGGAGAAGTTTGTGGGGAGATGCTGAAAACATACCAATTCCCAGAACCTTGCATATTGTGTCTAGCAAATTGCAAGTTACATTAGAAAGTGTGTTTTGCATAAATACCTTTTCTGCTTAGCAGATATTTGCTCAGCCTGACCCCCTAGCTCCAGGTTCCAAGAAAAATGGTCAGGCTGTTTACACATTGACAACTGTTAAGATGGTTTCAATAAATGATTAACTTCCATACTTATACCTCACTTTCCTAGCTCAGGTTTCATCCAGGTGTTTGAGTTGGGTACGAGTCAAGTTTGAAAGGTCTGCCTAGTTGTTTGGTGAGGGAGTGAAAAGTGAGTCCTGGTGAATCGGCCCTGGGCAAAACTGTAGGAAGATAAAGTTTATCTTGGGGGCTGCATCTCCCCTTTCTTTCCCTTCCTCCTCCTTTCCCCACCTCCAGGAGTACAGTGTTCTCTCATTCTGATCCATTTTACCAAAGGAAACATTTCCCCTGAGTATTTAAGCACTTGATAAACCCAAGGCCAAGGTCAGATACCACCTCAGACACTGGGCCAATCCCTTAACCCTTTGAGCTGCTCTTTATTCATTTGCAAACAGAGAAATCACTCCTGCACTGTGCTATGAGTATATATGGGGTAATGTTTTGTACATTGTTAAGTCCTAGACAAATTACTTCTTATTGTTACCAATGTTCGGAGTATTTTCATATTGAAGACTACTGCTGGGCCAGGCCTCACTGTAAATGAATTAATAAGATTTGTGCTTAACATGTCAGGCACTATTATAAATCCTTTACCTGTATTTATCAGTTGATGCACACAATAACACTATGAGGTTGATATGATTATCACCATTCCCATTTTATAGATGAGGAAACTGAGGCGCAGACAAGTGACTTGTCCAAGGCGGCCTAGGTAGTAAGTGGAGCAAGGATTTGAACCATAGTAATTTAGTTCTGGAGCCCATGCACTTAAACCCTATGCTATTCTGTTAGGAAATGAATCCCTAATATTAAATGCAACATGAAGGAATTAATCCTCATGATCAAATTTCAGGAATCAGTAAGAAAGATGCTTTTAGCCAAGCCTTTTGTCCTTAACATCTCCACCCCCTTTAGCTCTGCCTTAGTCTAGATCCTGGGCACCAGCAACGGTGCCTGTTGGGAAATCTTCCAACTGTGGCCTCTGCCTTCAGCCATTCCTTTCCTTATCTTCAAATGGTAGCCAGAGTGGCCTTTCAAAAGCAGAAGCCAAATCATATCCCTTCCCAGATTAAAATTCTTTAATGGCCTCCACTGTTGATAGAAGAAAATCCCAATTTGTTTATATTATACTCTAGCCAATTAGGTTTGCAGTAGCATTATGTTTAAAAAATGTACATGCCTTAATTAAATACTTCCTTGCTAAGAAATGCTGTCACCAGAGTTCTCAGCAAGTTGTGATCTTTTTGCTGGTGGAGGGTCTGACCTCAGTGCTGATGACTGCTGACTGATCAGGGTGCTGGTTACTTAAGGGTGGGGTGGATGTGACAATTTCTTAAAATAAGACAACAGTGGAGTTTGGGGCATCGTTCAACTCTTCCTTTCATAAATGACTTATTTCTCCACAGCATATGATGCTGTTTGATAGCGTTTTACCCACAGTAGAACTTTTTCCAAAATTGGGAGTCAGTCCTCTTAAACTCTGCATGCTGCCTCATCAACTAAGTGTGTGTAATATTCTAAGTCCTTTGTTGTCATTTCAACAATCTTCACAGCATCTTTACTAGCAGTAGACTCCATCTCAAGAAACCACTTTCTTTGTACATCCCATAAGAAGCAACTCCTCATGCATTCAAGTTTTATCATGAGATTTCAGCAATTCAGTAGTATCTTTAGACTCTACTTCTAATTCTCCTACTATTTCTCCACATCTGCAGTTACTTCCTCCAGTGAAATTGTGAACCCCTCAAAGTCATCCATGAGGGCTGAAATCAACTTCTTCCAAGCTCCTGTTAATGTTGATATTTCAGTCTCTTCCCATGAATCACAAATATTCTTAATGGCATCTAGAACAGTGGATCCTTTCCAGAAGGTTCTCAGTTGACTGCCCAGCTTTGTCAGTGGAATCACTATGGCAACTACAGCCTTAGAAAACATATTTAATAAGAAGATTGAAAGTTGAAATTACTCCTTGATACATTGGCTACAGAATGGATGTTGTGTTAGCAGGCATGAAAACATAATCTCATCAGAGCTTCTCATCAGAGCATAATCCACCAGAGCTCTTGGGTGACCAGGTACATTGTCAGTGAGCAGTAATCTTTTGAAAGGAATCATTTTTTTCTGAGCAGTAGCTCTCAACAGTAGGCTTCAAATATTCAGTAAACCATGTTGTAAACAGATGTGTTGTCATCCAGGCTTTGTTGTTCCATTTATAAAGCAAAGGCAGAGCGGATTTAACATAATTCTTAAGGGCCCTGGGATTTTCAGTGTAGTGAATGAGCATTGGCTTCAACTTTAAGTCATCAGCTGCACAGCCCCTAACAAGACAGTCAGCCTGTTATTTGAAACTTTATAGCCAGGCATTGACTTCTCTCTAGCTATGAAAATCCTAGACGGCATCTTTTTCCAAGATAAGGCTATTGAAAATCTGTTCTTTAGTGTAGCCACCTTCATTATGTTAGCTAGATCTTCTGGATAAGGTGCAGCTTCTGCATCAGCACTCACTGCTCCACTTTGCACTTTTCTGTTATGGAGACGGCTTCTTTCCATAAACCTCATGAACCAACCTCTGCTAACTTCAAACTTTTCTTCTGCAGCTGCTCACCTCTCTCAGCCTTCAGAGAATTGAAGAGAGTTAGGGTCCTGCTCTGGATTAGGCTTTGGTTTAAGGGAATGTTGTGACTGGTGTGATCTTCTACCAAGGCCACTAAAACTTTCTCCATATCACCAATAAGGCTGTTTCACTTCCTTATCATTCATGTGTTCACTGGAGTAGCACTTTTAATTCCCCTTCAGAACTTCTTTCCATTCACAGCTTGGCTCTCATTGGTACAAGAAGCCCAGATTTCAGCCTGTCTCAGCTTTCAACTTGCCTTCCTCACTAAACTTGATCATTTCTAGCTTTTGATTTAAAGTGAGAGACATGCCACCCTTTCTTTTACTTGAATGCCTAGAGGCCATTGTAGGGTTATTAGTAGCCTGATTTTAATATTGTTGTGTCTCAGGGAAAACAGGGAGGCCGGAGGAGAGGGAGATGGGAACAGCTGCTCGATGGAACAGTCAGAGCACACACAGCATTTATTCACTGATTAAGGTCATCGTTTTATACGGGTTCAGTTTGCAACACCCAAAAACAATTCCAACAGCAACATCAAAAATTACTGATCACTGATCATCATAACAAATACAGTAATAATGAAAAATTTGAAATATTGCCATATTTACCAAAATGTGACATGGAGACATAAAGTGAGCAAATGCTGTTGGAAAACTAGCACAGATACACTTGCTCAATGCAGGATTGCCAATAAAACAAGAAGCGTAATAAAACAAGATATGCCTGTACTTCTTCCAGAACATCCTGCCCTCATCAAATTGCCAACTCATCTCTCAACATTCAGCTCATCTTTCAAGACCACAGCTAGTGAAGCCTTTCCTCCCTCCCCAGAGAGGGCTGACCACTGCCCTTTTGTGCCTCTACTGCACCCTACACTCAGTGCTCCTATCCCAGTGCCTACTGAACCATGGAGTTACTCCACTTAGGGGTTTCTATAACCTCCTTCCCACTTTTTGACATAAGCTGGAGGGCAAGGCACCAACCCTAACCCTAGCATCAAGCCCAAGCCCTGCAACTATCAGGCACTCAGAATTTATGGGTAAATGGATGCCTAAATGGCCACAGGGTCTTCTGTGCCTTCATGCACAATCATGGGCTCTGATCAGACTCTGAATTTTCCCAGCATCGCACTGACTCTGTATTCTGGAAGAGTCAAGTTACAAAGAAATGTGACTCTCTTTGTACCCCAAGCTGGTGAGCTGGTCAACAAACTGACCATGTTCTTTGTAGTAAAAACTCACTTTCCAATCAAAGGGGTAGATTGAGAAATTGGTGGCAAAAGGAGAACAGACTCCAAGAATTCAGACTCCCAACCTAACACAATCATAACAGCAATCTGGATAAAAATCACCTTCTATAGAACTGGGCAAAACACTCCAAGGCAGTTTTTTTGAAACCACCTTGCCTTTCAAACCCTTGTACCACTGCTGGGCTGGAAAGGGAGCGAGAGACTAAGACTGACAAAGGCTGCCATTGTTAGAGCAGGGAAGTAGAAAAAGAAATTCAAGTGGAAAAACAGGAATTTAGACTTATAGATAAAAACTTCCCTTAAAATCTAAACATTCCTGTTCTTGCTGAAAACTATACTCTTTTGGCAAGATCTGTGGAGATAAACAGGACTTTTGTTTTAGGAACAGTGTAAAAAATAAGCCTTTCACAAGGTCAATGGCTGGTCTTGACTGAGCAAACACATGCTGTAACACCTGTGTGAGGGGTGGGTGTGTCTGTGTAAGGACACCAGGATCTGCTTGAATGCCTGGAGGTGGGTTTATATATGATTCTGTGTAAGAAAGGAAAAATTGAATAGTTATGAGTGTTTGCAAGGGAAGAGAAGGGACTCTTTCTCTCTCTCTACTTGTTTACTTAGAACCTGTCTTGGAGATTGGCCCCTGTGCCAACCACTGAACTGCCTGAGCAGAGAGCCCTCTGGAGGTGCTGCCCATCTTACATCAGAGGCTGCTCCCAAGACTCCCTCACATAACCAAGTCCTGTTTCTTAAGTTGGAATGCTTTAGGAAAGCTACTCAGGTCTGTAAGCTGAAATAGGCTGCTTCCCACTGTCCTCTTATTTTCCCTTAGAACAGTGTTTTTTAACGTGTTTTCCAAGGAACCCTGGGTTTCCTGAAAAAGGCTGCTTTGCATTCAATGGATGCTCAGGCTGGTAAAATATTGTAACTTCCATCTTTAACCCTTGCTCTCAAAATGTTTTGCTCATCAGTACAGCCGTATGGCTCTTCTAAATTAACTTTGATGATAATGGTTAAGTATAAATGTCTTATCTACTGCATGTGTTATTTATAAGTATAATCTTATATAAGGTTTCATTTTTTTTAATTTTCACTTAGGAAGAAAACCAGATTGCTACGCCTTTCCCTAGCTTTCTTCATCCCTCTAATGGGCTGATTTTTCTTTTTTGCCACAGCACCCTGACTTTACTTCCTAACAGACTATATAACTTATTACATATTTGTTAACTGCCATTATAGTTTATTGTCTGTCTTCCCCACAGCAGAATGTAGATTCCATGAAGACAGGGAGCTTTGCCTATTTTGCTTGCTGATGTGTTCCAAGCACCTAGAATAGGGCCTGGCAGACAGCAGAGGCTCAATAAATACATATTGAGTGATGCCATTTTTGTTCCCAGAGTGACTGATGGAGTGTGAACTGGCAGAGCTCTTCCAGTGTCCAGAAAGTAAGGGACCAGGAATTATCAGCTTAGCCAGAGGATGGCTCTACTTCCTGTTCCTCCCTGTGTTTGCTGGTGCCCCCACCGGCCTCCTGCCCTCAGAAACATCACCTGAGTATTTGTCAGGGTCACACTGGTGGCAAGAAGTTTCTCCCTTATTGGAGTAAGAGTTGGCTGGGCAGAGTTTGCAGAAAGAGGAGCCCTGATTGGCTGCGTATGTCCCCGGCTTGCAGGGGAAGCATTCTGAAGTGTAGGCCACCCCTATGGAGGAAGAACAATCAGGAAAAGCAAGGATTAGCCCTAGAGACTGGGCAGCCTGGGGACTGACCCTCACCCTTCCCACAGAATCACCAGGCCAGAAAGTCAGCCCCAGTCCCTCTCTCAGTACCTGTTATGGCGATGTTTCTCACTAGCACAGGCTTGGAAACTTTGGACCACACTGAGAAGGCTGTGGTTCTCCAGTAGAGGACATTGTTGCCTCGGCTGAGCTCGACCTAAAAGCCACAAGCAGGAGGCGTTAGTTCAGGTGCAGAGACAGATGTCCCTAAGGCACCGGGTCAGCCTCTGACTGGAACCCTTCCTCTTACAGCCTGCATGGCGGTGCCTATTCTGATCCTCTTCCTCAGCTTGCTCTGCTTTGTCCCTCCTCCCATCTTGGCCTAGCTCCTCCCCTTCTAAGTCTCCTCCCACTACCCTCCTCTTCTCCCTTAATCACATGTGCCATGGGCATCTTGAAAGTGAAGCCAATGAAGGGACCTGAGGGTACTGGCAACAGGTGACTGGGACTCTCTCATTCTTCTCTGGTTCTATTTATCCATGCCCCATTCCCAGATGACCTGGCCTTGAAAGCTGGAAAGCTGCTAGCCCTGGGGTCAAAGCCATAGTGGGAGGAAGTCAGCCCCCGCCCATATACTGTCAACTCAAGAGCAGAGAAACTGTAGCATCTTCATCATGTCAGACCCCTGCCTTTTAGGGACAGAGCCCAGACTGCAGGGAAACACTCTGTGGAGGAAAGGCCCTTGGGCCCTTTTCTGAGATTTCTAGAAAAGGTTAGTATCTCCAGGAAAGCTGGTATGGTACTCACACTGTGGAGTTCCCATCCTTTCTCCGTGGTTTTCATCCACCTGGAGTCATCTGCATTCGGCTGGCACTGATCATTCTGAACCTGAGGCAGCAGGAGTTTGGGATCGGAGTCTCAGCTTTCTAGGAAAGTGGCTTCCTCAGCCCACCCAGCACCAGCCCTCCAGCAGACCCCTCTCATGGGAGGAGAGTCGTCCATTTCCTTTAGGGACTGAGCTCAGAACGCACAGGCCTTGAAGTGGGAGCTGGTTATACACACAGAACTTCAGGGAACTCATACCAAAGAAATAACCTGTAACTCAGAAGCCATTATGTGCTGCCTTCCTGTGTGAGCAGGGTGGAAACACCTAGGGCCTCCGGACTGCTCTCTGCCTCAGCGTACCTTGACTTCTGCCTCTCTAGCCTCTTGAAGCCTCAGCCCATTTTGCCCACAGTTTTCACCTCGGGGAATCAACTGTGGCAATTTCCTAAGCAGGACTGTGCTTGTGATGCCTGTAACTGACCTGAGCCTTGAAGAATCCTTACCTCCCACCCTCCCCCTTGGCTTACAAAAAACTCAAAGATGATGCTGGGGTCCGGGTAGTAGTATTCAAAGTTAACAGTCCCCGACTGCTTCAGGTTGACAGCATACATCAGCGTGGCAGTGCATTCATCCGTGTTGGAGGAGATGTAGTCGCCCAGGGGCTCCCATTTGGACCTGCGAGGGGAACGAGAGCCAAGTTCAGTGGCAGGGGCCCAGCCCACCAGGCTTTGTGCGATGTGGAGGTCTCAAGTTCTGCAAGGTCTCTGAGAACTTCCAGCCTTGTGATTCATACGTGGAAGCTTAAATATGACAACGCTCCGTGAAGAAGGATCTCTAGATCAAAGAGCCTGGGGGGACAGCCGACAAGAGGAAGCTGGTAAGTGTGCCCCTCATTATGCAGAACTACCCAGAAGACAGATGGCAGGTGAGGTGAGGGGGAGGATAACATTTATTGGTTGCTTACTATCTCCCAGGTATTGACTTAGATGTTTTATACTCATTTCTTTTCATCAGTAAGAGGAAGTGCTACCCTTTCCCATTTAATGGATGAGGAAACTGAGGCTTGGCGAGTTCCTTGCCCAGTATCCCACAGCCAGCAAGTGCCAGGGTTGAGATTCAAACCCAGGTCTGCCTAACTCCAAAGCTGTCAAAGAAAGTCAGCATATACAGCTATTCTTTCTTTCTTTCTTTTTTCTTTTTTTAAATTTTATTTTGGTATCATTAATCTACAATTACATGAAGAACATTATGCTTACTAGGCTACCCCCTTCACCAAGTCCCCCCCACATACCCCTTCACAGTCACTGTCCATCAGCGTAGTAAGATGTACAGCTATTCTTTAGAACTCAGAAGCCCATCCATCTAGTCTGCCTGTTTTTCTGGCAATATTCACTTTTAGATGCTACATGTACCTGGTTTTTGTGGGAACGGAGAAGGCCAGAGAACCTCACAGACAATCAGTCTAGTCATGTTGACTTTATTTTCTAAATATCTCTCAGCTCTGTCCGCCCTGCACCAAGAACTCTCTTTTATCGCTCCCCAGCACTATGCCCACAGCGCTGGACCAGCCTCCCTGCATCCAGGCCCTCTTCCTCCAACCCCTTCTCCACTCGGTGGCTGGAGAGACCCTTCAGAACAAAACCTGAGCAGGCCACTTCCCGGCCTCAGGCCCTGTGGCTGCCTGTGGCCCTGAGGGTAGGGCACAAATCCTCACCCACTCTCTGTGCCCCAGCATGCAGAGTTTCAATCCTCTGCCCAACCTTGTCTCCCCCTCTGTGGCTGCCTGTGGCCCTGAGGGTAGGGCACAAATCCTCACCCACTCTCTGTGCCCCAGCATGCAGAATTTCAATCCTCTGCCCAACCTTGTCTCCCCCTGGGTCTTTCCAGGGCTGTTCTCTCTTCCTGGAACAAACTTCCTCCTCCCTCCCTTGGCTTAGCTCCTGTTGTCACCTGCTCTGAGAAGTCCTTCTGGACTGTTACCTGCCTCTGTGACAGCATGCCCTGGTTCCCACCATTTCCCTTCTCATAACCACATTTCTCTTCTATTCCACTTCAAGATATTACGAAATATTCAAGACTTACTACCTTGCTTAAGAAATCCAGTACAGCAGAAGCCTTGGTTTCCCTTAGCCAATCTCCACCCCTCCTATCACATATTCCAAACAACCTAAGATGAGCTCGTCCAAGACACCCCAGCTAACCTAATAATATTGATTTCTCCTGTTAAAAAAGGTATCACTTAGTGCTGATATGCTTGACAGCCCAGTAACCACTTTTCTGAATTTGGTGCTTAACATCCCATGTAGTTTTCTTTTCTTTACTCATTATGCATGTATCCCTAAACAATATGCTGCAGCCTAGTGCTTTGCATGTTTTTAAAACTTATATAAATGGTATCATACTTATGAAACTTGGGCTTTTTTTCTTGTTTGCTTCAATATCATTGTGGGAGTCATCCATACTCATACATGAAGCTCTTCTTTCATTTTTCTGCTATATAATATTGTCCTGTATGGTTCTACCACGTTTCTGTATGTGTTACTTGTTAGGGGGCATTTAGATTGTTTCCAGTTTTCTGCTCCTGTACATGCTCTGTTCAGAACATTCCTGTTCCTGTCTTCTTATTCACATGTCTGAGTGGAATGCCTGGAAGTGGAATTGCTGGGTTAGAGGGCATGGGAACCTCCCATTTTACCAGCTAGTGCCACATTGTTCTCAAGAGTGGCTGTTATCTATTTACACCCACCAGCAGTGTATGAGAGTTCCTATTGCTCCATATCCTTCCCTAGTTTCGAGTGGTCAGACTTTAAAATCATTGCCAGTACAGTATGGTAAGAGGTAATGTCTTGTTGGACTTTAAATCTTATTTTCTTGATTATTAGTGAAGTTGAGCATCTTTTCTTAGTGTATTTGCAATTTAAGTTTCCTCTTCTGATCATACCTTAATGCTTTGTTCAATTTATCTTTAACTATCTGTCTTCCTGGATGGCTTGTAGATGCTATGAGAGCAGAAACCAAATTTCTCTTGCTCACTATTGTATCCCCAGTACCAAGCCCTGGGCTCAGCACATAGGAGGGACTTGGGACCAACCAGATGAGGGTAGGAAATGGCAGTCAGAGACAATCCCCCTAGTTCACTGTTTTGCTTGAGACCAGCACAATTCTCTAATTATTAAAATGGCCAGTTAAGAGGACCTCAAATAAGTCCACTGGTTTCCCTTCTATTTGTCTGAATAACATGGCACTTACCAGCTCTTCAGAGTTAGTATTATTCTCAAATAGAAGCATATCAAACAACCTAAGATGAGCTCGTCCAAGACACCCCAGCTAACCTAATAATATTGATTTCTCCTGTTAAAAAAGGCATCACTTAGTGCTGATATGCTTGACAGCATCAGCTATAAATAACTCCTGCAGTTGGATGAATAATTAAAAGGATGCCATAAGTGGGTTACATTGCAAAATGCATTACAATTCTGATTTTTGTCAGAGCTGTCCCTGGTGAAGATCATTTCATGTTCAGTAATAACAGTATGTCTTGATTTATTTCTAGTGCCAGGCATTGCTCCAAATTCTTTATATGTATCATTTCATTTAACCCTTCCCACGACCTATAAGAAAGGTACTGTTTTAATCACCATTTTTAAATGAGGAAACTGAGGCACAGAAGTGATTAGGAAACCTGCCCACAATCATTGAGCTGTGATCTGCTTATACCTGCTGTTTTATCATGGCCCTGGGAAAAAGGGAGGCAAGTCTTCAAAGAGGAATCCTTGCATGGTGGCCCTCCAGACACCTCACGTAGCTCATGCTTTGTGGCACTTGTTCATAAGTTCAGTTTAGAAAGAAGAAACTGTACAGGAAGACTTAGAAGCTTCCAACATTTGAGACCCTTTTTAATGTTTACATGTATCTTTCTCTTATTCTGGTTTCACCATCACAGTGTTTGGGCTTCTGTTGTCTCTTCTCCACTAAGATGCAACATCCTTTCTGTGACTCCCTCTTAATTTCTGTTCCATCTGGCTTATCCCAGTCTTGGATCTGAGGACTGTTTCCAGAACCTTAGTCCTGGGACATTTATCCAGGATCCAAAGATGATTGCCTGAAGGTTCATGATCCTGCTATTGAAACTTGGTTTAATTGGCCTATTTTGTTATGAATCATTTATTTTGTGTCTACTTTATGCCAGATATTAGATGCTGGAGTAAAGAACGAAGATAGACTTGAGCCCTTCAAGTCTGAAGCTTGCATTCTATTTCTAGTTGAGGAGACAGAAACTTAACTAAGCACACAATTAATCACATAGTAATAACTCTGGTAAGTGTCATAAGGAAAAATACAAGATAATGCAAGACTGGAACTCTATGGGGCCAGGGAGGGTGTCTTTGAGAAAGTGACAGTCAGGCAGAGACCTGAGGGTGAAGCAGGAGTCAGCTAGCAGAGTGTGTTCAAAGGCCCTGCAGGGAAGGGGCATAGTGGCCAGTGTGACTGAAGCATAGGAAGCAAGAGGGAAGCTACTTGAGAGAAGCTGGAGAAATGGGCAGAGAGCAGAGTCCTGACTGGGCAGGGCTGAATATTGGCAAAGTATTGCATTGTATTCCAAGAACAACAGAAATTCATAAAATCTAGAGTTTTGAGCAGGAAAGGACTGTGATTAGATTTGTGTCTTACAATCAATCTGGCTGCTGGTGGACAGAGGCCTGGAAGAGGCTCGAAGTGGAAGCAGAGACTAGCTGGGAGGTGGAGCTGTTCAGGTTAGACTGGGGGCAGGGTCCATAAGCAGTTGAGCAGCAAAGCCAGACACTTGGCATCTTGGTACCAGCTCAATTACTGCCTTTCTGAGAGCAGTGAAGAAATCACAAAACCTATCTAGGTGGCCATTTGCTCTCCATTCCCACAGAGGAGAAACCTCATTTACCCCTTCCCATTTATCCCCTGCTTAAGATGCGGGCCTGAAGCTGTCTGTGCTATGGAAACACAAGTTGTTATTAACGGGCCCACATAGGGAGAATGATTTCTGGACTCTCTAAGTCCTGAGAGAGAGAAACCCTTTCTTCACACTGGTAGGAATGAGTGAGCGAGCCAGGCCCACACCTTGTCCAGGGTCAATCACATTCCCTATAGAATTCAAACGGGGGTTGGCTGTCTTAACCCACACATTGTCTCTCCTTGCAGCTTTAATCCTTTGTAGCTTTAACTCTGCTGCCAATGTTGTCATACTGATGATTTTGAAATGCAATATTAAACTCTAAAATAACATTAAAACTGGACTATTTAATGCCTGCTGCCTGGCTCAGACATCGGTATTTCTAGGAGATTTAAGTATAGGAATGGGAGACATTGCTTCCAGTTTTAGAAATCCAAAGGTAATACAATTATTAATGTTTTATCTTTTTTATTGCCTTGGGTATAAAAGAAACTTTCATGTACTTTCTCCCATATTTTCATCAATATGTAACAAGAGCAGTGAAGGACTGTCTTTTACATCTATTCATTACCACCCACCCACCTCCCACACCTCCCCATATCATTTAATTCCTATCCCTGGAATTAAATCATCAAAGTTACGATAAGGACAGCTCATCAGTGCTCCAAGCTTTTTCAATCGAGCTTTCCAATTACTGAAAAGATCTTTTTTTGAGCTGGAAAATTTTCTGGTCACCAGCATCCCAAAGGATTTGGAAGATCCCAGCCACCACTGACCAAAGTCTGGTCCTACTCTATTACCCCCATACCTATAAATACAGGCTCAGCAGACCAGTTTTTTAAAAGTTAGCACCCAAGACAAGAAGATACCTTTGCACATTGTGTTGCAATCAAGCTGAGGAATTTTATTGGCTGGTCTGAACCATGGTGGAAATCCAATTAGGTTTTGTTTCCAATGGACTGGGCCATTTAGCTCTTGTCCACCTTATCCTCCTCTATTTCCCCATCTTTTCCTCTCCCAAATGCCTGTCAGTCACTGGTAGGCTTAGCTCAGTAAGAATGGGCTGAGGTGGATGTCATGTGGGGCCTGCTCCAGCCCTCACCCCGGCAGCTTAGTTCCGTCCTCTCCATCGTCCCTTCCCAGCCTGAAGAGCAGGAGAGCAGGCTGTCGGGTGCTCCATGCAGGCCCTTTCCCAGCAAGGGAGCAGGGTTGGGGGAGGACTCACGAGGTGCAGTTGTCTGTGGTGCCGCTGTCAATCTCCATGTTGGTTGAGAGGCTGGCAAAGCCATGGGGCAGCTCGTCCCACTCATCAAACCGGATCCCCGTGCCCAGAGAGTAGCGGCCCTCAGCACACGGCTTACATGACTGATCCTTCATATCCAGAAACTCCCCAGCTTTGCAAGAGAAGGCTGGAACACAGCAGGGACAAGGGCGGGATGGTGAGGCCACTGCCACCAGGAAAAGGCAGGTTGTGGGCATCCTAGAGGGAGGAGCAGAGGATCGAGCTCCAGGAGTTTGACCCTCTAAGATTCAGAGCCACAGCACATCTTGTATGATTCCATGTATACGGAATGTCCAGAAAGGGCAAATCCTCAGAGACAGAAAGTAGATTTGTGGTGCCAGAGACTTCGGGGAGGAGGCATTAGGAGAGACTGCTAATGGATATGATGCTTCTTTTGGGGGTGGTGAAAATGTTGTAAAATTAGCAGTCGTACAACTCTGTGAATATTCTAAAACCACTGAATTTTACATCTTGGGTGAGCTTTTTGACATGTAATTATAAATTATATCTTAATAAAACTGATATTAAAAAAAGACTTTGGGTTGCAGCAGCTCTGCTTTACTGCAAGATATTGGGCTTATCCCTGATGGTCTCATTTCCTAAGGGGGTGGCCTTGGTCATTCTGAGAGCTCCCTAGTCAAAAGGATACTATGATTTCTTGTGCCAACCCCTCTGCACGGTGCCCAGCCCTTCAGCCTTGAATTCTCCCTTGAGTCTCTGGCCTAGGTCTCCTTTCTGGTTCCACTGCCACCATGCTGGCTGGGATTCTCAACCCCTGCAATTTCTCCTGACTAGTTTCTTGTTTCTTGTCTTTGCTCATTCTGTGGTCAGAGGTAACTTTCTAAACCCTGATATGTACTGTTATTCCCATTATATAATAAATAACCAGGCACTCCCCTTTAGCTATAGAATCAAGGTCTCAGCCTGGCACTCGGAGTCTTGCACAACTTTCCGTGACCTACCTTTCCAGCCTGGTCTCCCACTACAGACTTTTCTCCTCCCCAACTCCCTCTATCATCTTCCTGTGTGGCCCCTCCCCAGACACATGTTCTTCCCCAAATATTTCTGAGGTTCTTTCACCTCCAAACTTTTGCTCAAGTGTTTCCTCTACTGCTTCTGATCCCTAAGCATCCATAACCCCCATTCCTTTTCACCTTGTATGAACACATCATGTTGATGTGTGCCTCGTATGGGGTTCTGAGCTCTTCCAGGGATGGTGGCTCAGTGATTGGCACAGAATTGGCAGGAGCTCTATAAAGCTTTGCTGAAAAAAATGAGTGGATGAATGAGTGACTGCTCCTTCCACCAGACTGTAAGCTTCTGAGAGGAGAGACTGCCTCATTCACCTTAGTGGTTCACATGGCATGGTGCACAAGAGGAGCCCAGTAAAGCTGGCAGGTTAACTGAAGATGGCTCATTGGTTTCTGTTAGTCACACCACAGTTCTGCTCAGATCATAGCAATATCCATTCATGAATTTAACATACTTTATTTGCTCACCTACTGAATCAGGTACTTTGCTAACCTTATTTTAGAATTTAAGTGCCCTCAATCTCCTTCCCAAAACTTCCTTGATTCTGTTATTATGCTCTGATTTCTATTATTATGCTCTTTGCATTTCTGGGGGAAAACACCACCACCAGTGCAGGGGAAAGAGCTGCCAGTATAGAATAGTTGTGACTACAGAGTCACAGAGGCGGGGATGGGAGCTGCATGTAAGCAGCTGCCTTGCTGACAATCCTGTTGGTTAAAAGTTGGGAGGGTCTCCTTCCCTGGAGGGATGCTTGGTGCACCCGAAAGGTCTGTCTCTGCAGAAATTCATCTTCTCTGGCTTCCTTTTCAAGAATGAAAGCAAATTAGTCTTTCCTAATGACTGATTGAGGCTGGGGAGTGTAGACTGGAGACAAATGCACAGGCAAAAAAGAAAATGTATGCAAAAAAGTTATCTGAGTGGGACGTGGTTGGAATTGCTTATACTTTATCCCTTGATGGGATTTAAATTTAAAAACAAAAGCAAATTCAGATACCCCGTTAACGTTTCTTCACCAAATATCAAAGGGGCCGGGTTTAGGGACTTGCTGGGGGAGGGATCTGATTCCTTAAGATAGCTGCACTGTTGGGGGGGCCTAGCTTGGATGACAGGGGGCTGGGGGCCGAGGCCAAAGTTGAGCGGCTGGGCTGCTTACAGCACTCGGTGCCCTTGACGGGGTCAGGAAGGCTGGTGCACAGGCCAGGGCTGTGCGGCACGGCAACCCTCCACCTGGATCCTGTGCTGTCACATGCGGTGTACTCGTAGTGGTATTCAGACTGCAGGGGAGAGAACAGTGGGCAAAATGCGCATTAGCAGTGATCAAACATTAACAGCTTCTTACCCACTTCCTCCTCAGCACATGGCTACTGACAGTCATCAACCCAGGGCCAGGCCCTGGGACCCTACAGGGAGCAAGACATCACGGTGCTGAAATGATTGTTATCCAGCACATACAGGAGCCGCAATAACTGAGACCATTCCTCTCCACCAGCTGTGGTCTATTCCTTAGAAATCCTTTTTTTTTTGCATGACTTCTTTGTTGTGTATAAATAATAACCTGACAGACCAGGAGAATGTAGGAAGGTAACTAAAGAACATGCTAGAAGCAAATGGAGGTTTTTTTGTCCCAAAGTGTAGAATTATGAGCAAGAATTGGTCCATGAAATATCTGCAAGGCACTGTCACAGAAGCTGTATTTCTACTTCCATTTGTTCTTCATGCTCCCTTCTGCCCTGAAAGACTATGAATTCCCACCTTGCATTTTATGAAAATGTCATATTTAGCCCAGGCTTGTGTGTGTCCCCATCACATGGGCCTATCATGCCTAATTGTTTCATACAATGAGAAACTCACACTTCAGTTGCTTTACCTGAACTAAGAATAACTGAATAATAACAGTGCAACAGCCAAATCAGACAATAAATAGAATAGCAGCAGCAACAAGGAAAATAATAAAAAGCACTACTTGGGAGAAAGGAAACACAACAGATGTGCCAAGTACCCTTAAACACGCCTTACTCTTTTAAATCTTGTAATAAACAACAGACCACGGAATTAATGTGATTTTGGCTCTGACAAATATTTTACCATCCGCCCTTTGCTAAAACCATATCTAAATATAGAAGTACTTTGTATTCTTGTGTCCATCAGAAAAATAGATTTTGTGTCCCCCTTCAATCCATTTGAAAGCATGACGATTGTATAACATGTATAAATGCAAGGAGCTGAGACTAAAAACAAGACAGTTTTGAAGTCTGTTGATCTAAGAATAGATCAGAATCAAAAGGAGAAAATCTCACCTCTGGAAAGAAGGAGACATACTGCATGTCATCCAAGCTAAACTGCACATTTCTTCCACATTTTAACATCTGTGAAATCAAGATGTGGCTTATAACTAGCAAAATAAGGAAGCATTCTTTGTGTTATATTTTAACCAATAAAGCTTTTTCTTTTTTTGCAGTGCATAAAAAGTGGTGTGTCTTAGAAGCTACGGCATCTCAGTTTTGTGAAAATTTGGTAAACATGTTGTTTCTCGGTCTGCAGTTTCAGAAACTTAGGAGAGCAATTTTAGAGTCCCCTTTTTATTTTTCTCTATTATAAATATTTACCAGATGCATACTGTGTGCCCAACAGGTAGAAGTATTAGGTGCTGTGCCTGGTAGGGCTCAGGACAGCAAAGCATACATTCAGCACTTTTATCCAGAGTGAGAAGATATAGAGAACGGGAAAATTAGGGGAACTGTGAGCCTAACTTTTGATGAGAATCTTTGGCTTTGGGGTTAGATGTCAGCATCACCTGGGAGAGAAAGAACATCAGGCTGAGAACTCTTTGTGCCCGTGGGCTCCCATCACTCTCAGGCTGCTTTTCCGCATAATTCCAGTCTGTTGTCTTATCTCTGAGGATTCTGGGATACATTCAGGCAACTACACGTCTATCAGTTCCAGGTCTAAAAAGGATAGTCTGCAAAGGGTTTTGCTGCAAGAATGAGGGGTAAGTCCACAGTATATAAATTAAACTGACGAGTGAGGGAACCAGGCAGAAGGGATTCCATGACCTGCCTGTGAAGTAATTATGCTGGTCATTTGCATAGTGCTTTTACAGTTCCCAAATGCCATCTCGTCTGATCTTCAAACTCCCCACAAGGCACACAGAGCAGGGCTTGTTTCCTTCCTTGTACAGATGGGAAAACACTCTTAATGGGATAACATGGCTTGTCCAAGGTCACACAGCTGGTGAGTTACAGAGCTAGACCCCAGGCCTGCCCACCAGGGCTCCTCCAGCCTCGTACATCTATCAAATCAAACACAAACTCACACTAGGCCAAATTCACAGAGAAATCTGAAAATTGAGTAAGACAGTGTTGACTGTCTGCCAGCATCCAGGCTCACTTCTGAGGCCCAAAAATTGGTGTTAAAATATCTAATCTGTTCGAGCAGATAATTTCAGTTCACTCTGACTGCGTTTGGCCTTTTGGAAACACTTGGGCCAAGCCCATTTCTTTTCATCATCTTTCATTTGGTGTCCCCTGGGTCTCACGCGGGTGGGAGCTTTGCTGGGAAAATGGTGGTTCCAAGCCTTAGAAAATTTTCCTTTGAATCTGTGCTAATTACTTCATGTCACTTGGGGATGTTTACACCATCCAAGGTGGCTGGCTGTGCTGCAGCTGTTTCAGATCTGAACTATGCTTTGCTATCTCACCATTCAAGACATCAGCTTAGACAGACACTTAAATCATAGATGTAACTGGCAGTACTCCTCAGTTATATTCAGCATTCTGTGAACACATCAATTCCCCAACAGTACCTCAGTTTACCCAGTGATCTGTCTTTCAAAGCACATAGTCTGCATAATATACAGATTCACAAAGGAGATGCACAAATATATTCAGTATATATGTCCAGCACACAATTCCTCGCTCCCCTGATACACAATGATATGACACATACCCAAATCATAATTTCAAATGGGGCATAGGAGGCAGTGCCTACTGCCTGGATGTAAACCAGGGAAGTAGGAAAGGGTTTGGAAATGTGAGGTGAGCACCTTCGTTAAACTGCCCTCTCTAAATCACTCAGCCACATATAATGCTCCTGAGGCACGTGAGAAAGAAGAGGAAAAAAACCACTGGGATCTGCTTTGCAAATATTGAGCTGTCAGTTGGTTACACTGATCTTTCAGCTCCAGAAGAAAAAGGATTCACTCAGACCCACAATGTTTTTAGTCCCCGCTGTCTAGGTACTGAGTGGATTGCTGAAGTGATAACATAATTACTAAGTCAGAAGATGGTACCTGGAGAGAACTGTGTCCTTCCTTCCAGCTTTCTCCCACATTCTTTCAAAATAACGTGTCCTAGTTTTTTAAATGATACCAAAGTGAAGGATTAGAGATTGGAGAAAGGTTACCACATAACGTATAGATCACGTGCTACAGAGGCATTTGGTTGTCATTCCCTGTGGAAGACGAGTAAGGTGTAAGCTGACGAGGCGGTGACAGGTGGCAGGTAGCCTCTTTGGCGAGCCCTGCACAAACAGACAAGCCAGGCTTGATTCTGCCACCCCATTACCGCACAGTGCTCAATTTCTCTAAGCCACAGTTGCCTCATGTGGAAAATGGGGAAATAGAAACATCTGCCTCATGGGCAGGGCTGCCATGTGCCGCTATGCAGGTCTCCCACAGGGCTGCCCAGTTTGGGGTGTGAGTGGATATTGGAATCTGGCCTGAGCTCTGTGTGTAGGTTCTGTGTCCTCTTGTGGCTTTGATCTGCCCAGAAAGGCGGTAACTTTTACCCACGGGTAATAGGTCAATTGTGAGCATAAGTAAGATGATATAGGTCAAATGCTCAGCACAGTGGGTTTTTGTTTTTTTTTTACCATTTTACAGATGGGAAAGCGGAGGCATCAAGAGGTAAAAAATTACTTGCTCAAGGTGACACTGCCAGGAGATTGCCAAGCTAGGACCGAACCCAGGCAATCTGAGTCCAGAGCTGTGTTCCAGCCTGCTGGTGCTCGTGGGCAGCCCACACAGGTGCCACTCACACTCACAGTGTGTGTCTGGTGCCCAGCAGTGGCTTCCAAGATGATGAAAACTTTGCTATGAAAGCCAAGGGTTATAAAAAATACTTAGCAAACAGGGCCCAAAGGGCATAGAGTCAAGCCCAGAGTTGTGTGGACTGGGAAGGCTGAAAGGCACTTTAAACCTCACCGAAGGGCCTCCTGTGCTGTGGACATGTGTGTTTTTGCCCGCCCTCTTGTCTGGCAACAGACTGTCTTTGAGAGGATACCTCCCCTCCTTATTACTGTCAGTCTTGGCGGGACTCTTGGACAGGATGGCCTCTGCCCACGCACAACACAGACTCACACAAGGCCAAGCAGATGCTCTCCCTGGGTATGTGGAGCTGGGGTGGGGGACGGGGTAGGGCACTTAGCCCTGAGTAGGGACCTGAGTGGGGTGGACCCTGACAGGGCAGGAATGTGTGGGGTAGCGGGGGATAAGCCCCCTCCTCACTTCTCTACCTACGGCTAGCCTTGGTGCTACCCCCAACCAAATCCACAGTAGTAACAAAAATGAAAATTATGCCAAGCATCACAAATGGACAAATACTGTGTGAGTCCACTTATATGAAGCACCCAGAGTAGTCAAATTCATAGAGACAAAAAATAGAATAGCGGTTGCTAGGGGCAGGCCCTGAGTACAGTTTTGGTTTTTCAAGATGAAAAGATTTCTGTCAATAGGTGGCGGTGATGGTAGCACAACAGTTTGAATGCACTTAATGCCTGAACTATACACTTAAAAATGGTCAAGATGGTACATTTTTATGTTGTGTATACATTACCACAACTTTTTTGGGAATAAGTTATGATACTATATCAAACTAAAAAGGTTCTGTACAGCAAAGGAAACTGTCAACAAAACAAAATGGCAAACTATGGCAGAATATTTTCGCAAATGATACATCCCTCTATGTTTATTGCCACATTAACAACAGCCAAGATATGCAAGCAACCAAAATGTCCTCAATAGATGAATGGATAAAGAAGATGTGATACATTTTTGGATATACAATGGAATATTATTTGGCCATGAAAAGAAGGAACTCCTGCCATTTGAGGCAACATGGATGGACCTAGAGGGTATCATGATAAGTGAAATAAGCCAGGCAGAGAAAGACAAATACCATATGATTTCACTTATATGTGGAATCTAAAAACAAAACAAAACAAAATGGGCAAAATAGCAATAGACTTGTAGATACTGAGAAATGACTGGTAGTTACCA